AGAGCAGAGTCACACAGGTGACCGGAAAGGTACAATTCTGTCTTTTCCCGTACGCTACCCAGTAGTGTAGTGTTTACAAGCTGGGTTGCTAACCTCAAATTCAGCAGTTCGAAACTACCAGCTGTTCCACAGGAGAAAGATGAGGCTTTCTGCTCCTGCAAAGATTTGCAGCCTTGGAAACCCTATGCAGGGTCACTATGAGTTGGAACCACTCTGGTGACCAGTGGTATGGTTAGCCCCCACCCTCATCTCCAGCACCCATAGTCCTGCTCTCCAGGAGTTTAGAGCCACGTGGTTGGGAGACACACCAGTGAGAGGCTGGTTCCCAGCTTTGTCACTTTGATGAGCTGTTTTGGTGCTTGGATTTAAGTGGGCTTGGCTTAGGATCTATAGAACCCTAAGAGCCACCAGACCAGCATTAACGAGTCACCCACCCTGCCCTCAGACACTGAAATTAGCTCCATTAAGGGCCTCCACAAGCTGCTTCAGGATAGAGTGCCCTGAACACAGATAACACCAAGGGCAATAAGAACTCCTTCTAGGGCCAAGAATTCCGCTGTCACATCCTTCCTACATCCACCTCTTGAGACCCTTGGCTTGCATCAGGACCCCAGAGTTTTCTCCTCTCCAAGCCCAACAACTGCACTGTTGTTTTTTATTGGTTTGGGGGGGGGGGGTTATTTCTTCCCTTTTGTTGTTTATATGCTTTTGTCTGTATATTCTTCTTTGTAAGTTTTTATTGTGAATTGAGTAATGGTTTACATGGAAGAACATCAGCTTTACATCACCCTATTATATTTCATCTCATCGCAATTATTACAATCTCCTCCATGCATCATCAAACAACCAAAAGGTATGACCCGCAAACCTGTCCCCGGGTCATCAGCACACAGCTTCTCTCCCTCCCTGAGTCCAGAGTCCCTAGACACTCCATCTCTCCATGTCATTGTCTCTGCTTTCATCTCTGGCATCACTGCTTCTCTGGATAGGGTCCCATACTCTGCTCTTGTCCCTTGATGGTCCCAGAATCCTCTGCTCCTGGACTGCAAAATCAACCACTCCCCTTCTTTTGTTATAAAACATCTACCTTTATATTTGCAACACTCACAGTCAGTCCTGATAGCAATCATTCACTATTGTACCACAAGATTTTTATCCCCATCTCCTTTCCTCAGCCTCATCCAGACAGGTTGGGAAACCACTCAGTGGACATTCTACCTTCCCCTGCACCCTCTGGAACTAGGATCCCTCTTGAATGCTTGTAAGCCAGTCACTTCTTGCCTTTGTAGCCCCCCCATTTTGGGTAGCCAATGTCTAAGTTGCCCATCCCTGTCAACCCTGTGTACAGAGGGGGTGGGAATGATCCATAAGTACAGGTCAAGTTCATCAAATTGTAGCGGATTACTGTTTTTTTTTTTCCCTCTAGTTGATTTCTGATCATCCAGCCATTAATGCTTGGTCAAATGGGTATTATCTGCAAGTATGGGTGTTCTTGTGCATCTCCCTTCACTTCATACCAACTGGACGTTTCACTATCCGCTCTAGTCCTCTGTGGCCATATCCCTGTCTCTGGGCCCAGGAGTCCCCAGGTCTTGCCATTGTCTGTATATTCTTTTTCCTCCTTCTTCTCTTTCCATTCCCTTGAATTTTATCCTTTCAATCTCTGCTTCCCACCCACCCCCCTTTTTTTTTTCTCTTCCCCTTTTGATCGTTCTTTGCTACTCTTTATTCTCTTTTTCATCTTCCCTTTCCCTGTTTTTTTTAGGGTTATTTTTATTTTTAGGAGTCCTGGTGTGGTGCTGGGGGATGCGCCA